GGTGAGCAATATGAAACCTGATGTGCTCCTGGTCTGTAGAATGTGAGAAGGGTTAAACATACATGTTTGGGTGCTAACTCCATTTCACTGTGTTTAGAATCGTTGGATTGAGGAAACCGTATACATGTAATTATGTAGGTGAGCAATTTGAATTTATCTATTTTAAAAGCATTCCCCAAATGCTGTTCCCCTGTCGAGGGGGTTTCCTGCTTTCACTTGATTGATGCTATGCGTGGGATGGGGAAGCTGGTAAGAGAGGGAGGAAGAAAAAAAAGAAGAGTAAGAAAGGAAAAAGAAGAAGCAAACAAAAACTAGATTGGAGCAAGAAAAAAGAGAATTCTCAAAGCAATGATTTGAAATTATTTGAACCGGCAATAGCTGACATAGCACACAGCAAACTGGCAGTACAAAAGCCTTGATCGCATGGCGTTTTAACCCACCACATTAACACGAGAATTAACGACCATCAGATGGAATACCGAGACCAAAACACACACACACGTACACACACACACACGCGCGCGCGCGCGCACGCACACACACGCACACACACACACACACACACACACACACACACACACACACACATACACACGTACCATCTCTCCTTCTCTAAGCTGCCTGCAAAAGGGAATATCTCCGCACCCTATTGAGTTGCACGGATGCACAGTCACACATGAAATTCCGAGTGTTGAGCGCACGTACCTGTCTCAAGTCCTCCGGAAATTCGGCATTGCGCTCGACCTGCTGCGCCAGTACTAGCTCAGGATCAGAGTCCACCGCGGTTGTGTAGAACGGTAGAATCTTCTCCTGCTCGGTCTCGTAATGACGACAGATCTCGGCTAGCGACAGCACCTCCTCTCCCTAGCCAGGCAAACACAAAGTCACGGTTCGCGTGAGATTCGACTAGAGGCCGAGCTATCAGCATCCGTTGGACGCCACCACCCTCAAAGACCAAGACAGGTAAATCGGGTCGGTTAGTGAAGAAGAATGAACTCGGATGGAGCCTAAGAGCCAAGGATTATTTAAAAAAGTAAAAAGGACCAAGGAAATGTTATCGCATGAGCTGATTGTTTAGTAACTGGTGGTGTTAGTGGACATTATAGTGTAACTTGTAGTTCCTTGGTCCTTTTTACCTTTTATAAATAATGAAGAAGAATCCCTTGTTTGAATCCCTTTTTTTTCTCTACACAATTTCTTCACATTTTCATCGTTTTATTGCACATTGTCTCCACAGCTTTACATTAGGCAGCATCTCATAAGTTCGCACTTTTTTTGTAAACGTAACGCATTTCGAATAGACTTTACCCCCTACCTCCCCCCACTATTTGAAAGTCTTGTCGCATATTTTCAGTGTAGATCTACTGTACTGGACATGTCCATGCCATGGTATGCACAATCATGTACAATGTTCATGTAGATCTACATGGACATGAATGTTTTGCTAGTGTCGAAGTCAATGGCATACAGTAGTACCACATCTACTTTGAAATGTCCGTTACTCCGAATCACATAGATTTTGATGGGGAAAGGCCATACATATGGCATCTGTTGTCACTATTTCCACAAGAGTGATGAAAGACCAGTCAAATTTCTCTTGAAACTCATCCAAAAGGTGCCCGGCAGACCAAAGTGCCCGTAATTTCGGGTCCGGAAAACCAAGGTAACATTCGTAACAGGGTAACAGGTGTAACATTATTTTCTTAAATATAAATAGGGAGGGAAGTTCATCATGTATCCGCACAGACGCGAAACCATGACTTATCACACGCGTCAACCGTTTCAGCAGCAGGACTTACCAGTTTGACTTTCTGATCGACATCTCGGATGCAGTCTTCGCTCTGCGTGCACAGTCGTTTCAGCTTTCTCCTGCAAAGAGCAGAGCCGTGAAGCATCAAACGAAAGAAGCATTGGGGAAGCGAACGCCCAGTATAAACAAAATTAATGACGTTCTCATAGATACAAGAAAGATAAGGCAGCTAAGAATGAGCACATCATGATGAACCACTAAGTAAAATGAAAGAGTCAAGGAAGTTTTTTTAGCAAAGGGTGTTGCAGGAATGTGGCAAGGCAGATCTTGTTACTTGCGAGTATCGATTCCGGTGCGTACTATCCTCTGTTTGTTCAGAGCACGGAATGTGGTGATATCAGCTTGAAGGACATACACTGGATGTTGTGATATCAGCTTGAAGGACATACACTGGATGCGGTGATATGTGCTAGAAGGACTTACATTTCCGCCTGCGAGAACTGTGTCATGTACCCCTTCATGTCTTGAAACTGAGAGAGAAGACTTGCCTTTTGCTGCAAGGCATGAAGAGCAGGGGACAAAGAGAGAAAAACGAGAACGCCAGCGATGTGAGCATTCTAAGTCAAGCTTTGCGATGACAAGCAACATACCTAGCAACCTATGCAAACCTGAGACCAGGACAACGACATACAGTAAAACCTGTGACTAACGATCACCTCTTGGGACCAGAGAAAGCGGTCTTTAGTGGCAGGTGGTCTTTAGTGGCAGGTGGTCTTTAGTTAGAGGTTTGCACCACACAACCATAATAATGAATGTGAGACCGTCCGTGCCTGGCAAAGTGGTCGGTAGTACCAGGCTGGTCGCTAGTCACGGTGGTCTTTAGTTACAGGTTTTTCTGTACCTAGGTATGAAAATAATTATGTTAAATGTAGCTGTGAGGCTTTTGGGTACCCATTAGCACCCTGCAAAATGCACCAGCGACAGCCTATCTGCACCCTGCCATGTTTGGTCGTCAGGCGAAATGCCGCACTCCCACCTCGATATCGGGACGGTACCGGCCAGATCGGGATGGTTCGCAGGTATGGAACAAGGCAGTGACCGCTCCAGAGCTGGGTGTTCAGCGTCAGTGACTCAGATAGCGTGAGCATCAATCTCTTACCTCTTTCAACATCCTTTGCCGCTCCGTAGCCACTTGAGTTGTAGACTTCAGCTCTCGTTTGCAGCCCTCGATTTTCCGCTGCGCATCAGCACCAAAAATTAGAGTTTGGCATTGGGATAAACACAAACACAGGCCGCTGTATTGCTTCTGTACAGGTAGAAAATTTCGTTGGTCAATAATTTCATCCAACTCCAAAGAAAAGGAGTTCGTCCGCTTGAAAATTTCCTCCATGGATCATACGAGTGTATAGAAAAGCAGGGCAAATCGACATTAGTCCTACATTTAATTTAGTCCAAAAGCGTCTTGGACGAAAAAGACGAAATTAAATTCCAGACGAATACTTCCGCTTATACAGTACTCTTACCAGGGGCGTAGCTGGCTCACCATGGCGACATACGGGTAGGATGGCTGGTGCATGTCATTCATGGTCGTTTTGTGCATGCTGAGCCAAGGTCGAATTTTCCGGGGGGGGGGGGGGGGAGGGGGGGCACTTGCCCTTCCTGCCCCACGTGGGCTATGTCATCCATGTTGGTTCCTGGTCCAGTTACGATGTAGGCGAACATGCTAATGCCATTGTCACACGCCATGCACAAGCCCTGGACAAACATTATCTCATGCGTGACTACCATGAGAAGAAGCACTTTCTAAACGGGCCACTTCTACCGAGCTAGGGATTTTTTCACATTCCGATATAGACCTGATCAAAATAGAGACCAAACTTGAAACGGTGGCCAGACACACAACACAACAAAAGCAGACTTCCATTTTCTTTTCTTTCTTTTTCCTATCTGTACTTTTCTACAATATCCTTTAAAATTATATTCACAGTGGATCCAATGTTATTAGGCATTATGCCTGTTTTGATTTCCACTATAAATAAAGTATACAACGACAACAACAACAACAACAACAACAGCATAACAGTGAAAACCAACACCAGCAAGATTCCTGATAGACCTTACCTCCAGCAACTTTAGCTTCTTGCCCTGTTCATCAATCTCCTTGCTCAGCTTCTGGTCGCGATCCTTGAGAGCGTCAAACTGCTTGCGCCGTTCCTGGGTGCACTCCTGGTAGTCCTTGGTCGTCTGCTCGCGTGCACATACACACATATTATACACATGCACACACGTACACACACATACATACATAATACACACATATTATACACATGCACACACATACATAATACATACACACACATACATATATTATACACATGCACACAGTGACACACACGTACACACACATACATATACACACAGGCACACGCAAACGTGCACACGCATACACGCACACAACCGGAAACATGCAAAACCTCTCTCTCTCTCTCTCTCTCTCTCTCTCTCTCTCTCTCTCTCTCTCTCTCTCTCTCTCTCTCTCTCTCTCTCTCTTTCTTTTTCTCTCTCTTAGTTCTGTACTTCTCGCATAAGATTCCATATCTCTCGCAAACAAGGGTCGGGTCACACGTCAGTGATTACATACCATTGCAGTCGGAGAATTTAGAAATTGTACTCGGAGGGTAAGCAACAGCTTTCGGTTTGTTTATCAATGAATTTAGAAATCCTAATAAGGGGCCATCCGGCAATATCGATAATTTTCAAGGAACGAAAAAGTTTAGTTATAACCCTCCCCAACCCACTTACCCCCTTCAACGAATATGTATAGATTATAGACCGGTAAGGAGGTCTATACAGGATATATAGACCGAGTAAAAGACCGAGGTCCCCCGAGGTCTTTTACGAGGTCTATATATCCTGTATAGACCAACTATGAGGTCTATAATCTATTTATCGTGTTCTCCACGCAATAGTTTCTCTTCATATACGACATATCCTTGTAATTCTAGTATTATACTATAGCCTATACCGCATTGTACTGCATTGAAAGTCAAGATCATTGTTTAAACTAGGTTCAGCATCGGTAGCACAGTGGCTGGGTGGTAAGGAAGAGTGACTGAGATTCACAAGGTTGTGGGTTCAAATCCCATCTTGTGTATTTCTGCTTTCTTCAAACATTTATTTTTCTAAGTTGGAGAGAAAATTTCTAAGTCCAAGAAGTTCTAAGGAGTCAAATATAAGTAGTCAAATATATCGTGTATTTGACTAAGCAGTCAAATACGCGATATATTTGACCGCTTAGGTATCAGGGAAATTAGTGGGGTCAAATACTAAGAAGGCGATAAATATATTTATCACTCTCTTATTATTGACCCCCACAGAAACTTGTGATCTCTAAGCGGTCAAATATCAGCATATATTGACCGCTTATATTGACCACTTATTATTGACCACTTAGCCCGAGGACTTAGAACTTTTTCCTCAACTTAGAAAAAAATCAGAACTGAAAGAAGAAAAATCTGAATCCAAATGCTGGAATTCGAACCCAAACTGTCAGATTCTCAGTCAAAGAACTTGGGGAACATACTACAAGAGACAACTGAAAACTTTGGTTTACACAGAAGTAATGTCCAATGTAAACGGCATATGTACATACTATTATACTATTACAATAGTATTCCTTTCTTCCTATAGCAAAGCAAAACAGTTTTAGGTATGCTATGTCGTGATAAATCTATTATTGCCCTCATAATCGGTCAATATATGAAATATAGACCTCGTAAAAGACCTCGGGGGACCTCGGTCTTTTACTCGTTCTATATTTCATATATTGACCTCTTTAATCGTGCAATAATAGATACATATTGACTTGCCAGCTAGAACAGATTGATGTATCAGCTATCGACATTTTTCAAAAACGAAATTCTCCTCAACCCACCGACCCATAAACGAAACTTTTCTATTCGTGAAAAAGATCTATAATTACGAGGGGCCCCCAATTTACATTGCAGTGAAAGACATTTGTGGTAGTGGTGGTGATATTTTAAAGAGATGGCTAATTGGCTGGAGTGGAGCCTCCGAATATTGAAGCCAGTCTCATTGTAGAGAGTAGATGAAAGACACCAATGCACACAGGCGAGACTCACCCTTCGGAACTCGTCCCACATGTCGGCAAGCTGCTGTTCCAGCATCATCCGCAACGAGTGTTTATCTTCAAGATTCTGAAAAAAGAAAGAAGACGGAGAGACAAGACAGGGAAGTCACAATCTCTGACCACCATTCTTCCATAGAGTTTTTTTTTAGGTAAGACCAACGGACAAATTTTTTGAATCGCCGGTGAACAAACAAAGCCCAGTTCACGCTCAGTGTGCACAGGCATGGGTGCATGGAGGCGAAAGAAGCGTTAGGATGGCGCTCAACTTCATGTTCGACACTCGTGTTGAGTGAGAACAGCTGCCAGGAAGCCCTTCCGGGCGATAAAGGATAAGCTTCAGAATCGCTCCAAGCGCAGGTGGAGTGAACCTGTCACATTTCGTATACTTTTCAATGCAAAGTTAAGGCGTAACCTGTTCACCACAATCTCGGGGTGATTGCCTTGTCACTCAAACTTGAAAAAGCTATATAGAGCTGATGCGAAAAGCCATTAATTGAGACTATCATAATTATTTCCCCGATTGTAAGGCGCACTCGATTATAAGTGGCACCCCCACTTTGAGGTTTGAACCACATTGGTTCAATACATGCATGTAAGTAGGATGTCACTCTCGATTTTAAGTCGCATTCCCTTATTTGCCCTTGAAGTGTAGTATAAAAAGGTTCGACTTATATGTGGGGTAATACGGTGTTTGTATTGAGTGGTGAAGGCATGGCACGGTGATGAGTTAGTGCCTGTTAGCTGTGCGCAGCACTAGAACTGTTTGTACGGGCTGTCCCTGGATTCGCGGTTAAGCCTGGCACTGTTTGGTGTTGTATTATCTGTATCAGGCCTGTTGTGATTGTCTGAAGTTATTGTCTGTGTTGTGGTTGACTTCACTCTTTAGTACTATTGACTGGCTTTTCGTACAATACCTATCGATGTATAGAGACATACACTGTCCAGCCTTTCGCTAGTGCGCTTATTGATACACTATCCAGCTGTCCAGCGGCTCTTCTTCCATCGCTCTCCATCTCGCTATACTCTTCTTCACACTTTCTAAGTTTGTGTCTTCTTTACAATAAAATCAGTTCAGTGACTGACGAGTTCGAGATCACAACATTTGGTTGTTCTTAGATTTATGGTACAGACTTGTACTGCATGCCACTCAGCACTGAGTCATGCCTGGTACTGCATGCCACTCAGCACTGAGTCATGCCTGGTACTGCATGCCACTCAGCACTGAGTCATGCTTGGTACTGCATGCCACTCAGCACTGAGTCATGCCTGGTACTGCATGCCACTCAGCACTGAGTCATGCCTGGTACTGCATGCCACTCAGCACTGAGTCATGCCGCATTGGGGACAGTGCACAACCTGCAGATTCCAACACATTGACAATCCACTAACCTTGTTCTTCAGCTCATCACATTCCATCTGGAACTCGGCCTTTGCCGTCTCCTCCTCTTTCGTGAACTTTGTCCGGATGCAGAAACGAATGTCGGCCTCGTCGGACAAGTTCTTTTTGTGCAGTGCTATCATCAAACTCCTGGAAGCACAAAGGCACACAGTGAGGAAATGTAAGAAGGATGCAGATTCCATTTGTTGGTTGGGGATATGAGGGGGGGGGGGGGGGGGGGGAGGGGGGACAGGATACAGGTTTCATAAGAAAAGTACACTTTTTACTAGGGGTTGTGTGTGTGTGGGGGGGGGGGGGGGGGCTGGTCTCACCCACAAACAAGTGTCCATTGCAATTCTAACATTGACACACACACACACACACACACAAACACAGGATGATGAATAACAAGTCCCGACACTCCAGGTTCTGCAGTATCCAGAGTCGACCTAATAGGGCGAGCTGAACTTTCGCTTCACGTCAGAAATAACGTTCATCTTCTAACCTTAGTAATAATGACGTTCTGCTTGCACAATACCCACGGTATACACACACTGCATGGCAACGGTTTTGAATTCAAAGAGCAATTCCATAGCGTAATTTCTATCTCGGCGCTGACGTTTTTAGCTCCGGAAGCTGTGAGGGATCATAAACTGTTACTTAGCATGAGTCACTGTGTCAGGTGTCCCTACCGTTCCTCTTCAAACTCCGTTTCCAGAGTGGCCAACTCCGTCTCGAAGGCATTCTCCAGGTCAACGAGTCGCTGGGCTTGAAGAGCTGCGAACCAGAATGAGATCGTGAGACACCGCAATAGATATCACCTTACATTCATATGCACCGAAACGGCATTTGAGCCGTGATCAGCAAAAACAGACCTATATATAGGTCAAATTTTTCAAAATGTTTTTTTCAATTTTTTTTTTTTTTGCTGGAAATTGTTTGCTTGTACATGTATACAAACAAACAATTTCCAGCAAAAAAAAACATTTTGAAATTTTTGACCTATAGATCTGTTTTTGCTGATCACGGCTCATTTATAGAATTTGAAAGGGCGACAGAAACGAGGCCGGGGAATGCAGTGCCAGTTCGGTATAAATATTCAGGCGCGCAGCTCGTGTATAGTCAGTGTGGTCCGGTGACCATACCTGAAGTGGCTGCTGTCATAGGCACTACACAGTGAAAATAGGTTCATGACCTTGTATGCAGAGCTGGTATCACCGTGTGCAGTACTGTGTACGTTTGCAGTGGACTTGCCCCGCAAAACCAAACGGCGGGGGAAATGGATGCACATGTCCCATTCTGTTGCCCAAGTAGTTGAAGTGGCTGCTGTCTGTACAATGACAGGCACCTGTACATGCCACAATCACACGTACATGTATATGTACATGTACATGTGCATCTGAAGTCCATATGATTTTTTCCCATGCGCATCTGCAATCAATTCCTGGCATTTACGATATACATATTTATTTATTTATTTCACCTTCTGGTGGCCAGGGAATATAGGCCAATATGGAGGGAGGGGGGCGATAGCCAGCGATGGCAGTAAGCAAAAACAATGCAATATTGCATATTAGATGAGAAGATCGGGTTTAGTGAGAGATCGAATATAGTGACATTTGGTTCTCTCCGGAAGGAGTGTCGTTATTTCCAATCTCCACCGTATCTTGGACAGTATTGACAGCAGCTCACCAATAAGCTCGTCCAGGCTTTCCGCATATCGTCTCATGCGCATCATCTGCTGCTCTTCGCTCTGCTCCATGTCCGTAATGAGACTCTGTGTGATAGCCATCTTGCGATCGATCTGCTTTTCAAACTCCTTAGACAGCGACTCGATCTCGCTCTTCAGGTCACGTGCCTTGACTGAAATATTCAGCAAGTACAAGAGTGAAAGAGAGAGACAGACACACACAGAGAGTCGGGATCCGGGTAGGTTTTGCGTGTTTGTGTGTGCGCATTTGTGTGTGTGTGTGTGTGTGTGTGTGTATGCGTGTGTGCGTGTGTGTGTGCGCGTCCAAGGTCCAAGGTGTGTGTGTGTGTGTGTGTGTGCGGGTGTGTACGTGTGTGTGCATTCGTGTGCTTGCAAGCAGATATGCCACTACTTGCTTATAGGCTGTGCTGCATCTGATTGGCCATGTGGTTTCTTGAAAAGTGCATGTGTGTAAGTGCTAGGGACAAACATAGTAGTTGGTCTTCTCAATCCCAGTAGATGTTACCTAGTTTGCTTGACGACACAGGGGCGTCGGAAGGTAATTTAGTGTGGTACGGTCAGCCATCTGAAGTACAATTTACTCGTAGGGGAGGGGTGGCTAAGCTGAACTGTTTGAAAATTCAGAGCCCAGATTTCATTGATTCACGGGGTACCCAGGGCAAAAACCGGTACAGTAAATACCGTAGTGACCGTACCGTGTCCGACGCCCCTCAGCACATACATGGGTTTCTAGACTTGTGCTTATTTCCAGAGGTCAATCAAGCAAGATGATAATAGGCAGGAAGCGCGAGCTCCGACGTTTGGAACAGACGCTTCATTCAAGCAGCTGCACAAAATTCAAGTACATGCGTTGCAAACACGGGCTTCGCACACGTGATAATTCAGGGCCGCCGGAAGGTATTACAGGGTGGTACGGTCAGCCACCTCAAGAGTCAAGTACAATTTGCTTGTGGGGTTGGATTGTGGCTTCTGTTAAAAAATTACTACACGCCCAAATCAGTGCATTCTATTGATTCATGGGGTGCCTGGGGCAAAGAGTGCTACGGTCAAAACCGTAGTGACAGTAGCGTGTCCGACGCTCCTGTGATTGGTTGTTCCGTTGCCATGGTTATCGCTTACACAGTCTCATGATGTGGATCCACTGGTTCTGTATTCGCACCATGTTGTGCCGGGCGGCCCTCTCCTCCTTGACCAGCTTCTCCTGCGACAGCGTAGGCCAGAGCATGCACACACACACACACACACACACACACACACACACACACACACACACACACACACACACACACACACACACACACACACACACACACACACACACACACACACACACACACATACACACACACATATGCGAACGAAGTCACACACATGCATACGAACTCACATGCACACACAACAAAATCCACAAGCACATCGTAAACCAGCGCGCGCACACACACACACACACACACGCACACACGCACTCACGCACGCACACACGCAGCCAGAGTTGTGGAATGACCACACGCCCCGAATCAGTCAAAGGACAACTGACTGCTGCATGACGAAGAGTCGTACACAAAGTTTCTTCTACAGTAAATATCGGATATAACGTGCCCCTTTGATTTTCGAAAATGTATCACTATATCCGGTGCATCACTATAGCCGATTTGCATGTTTGACCGACACATGGCACATGACTGCACATGAAATGATGCGTACACGCTGGAAAAAGCATGCTGAAAGTGCATGCATGCTCCGCGGACTGTGTACCGGTGCATGACACAGAGCAGTGCATGGCAGTGCAGTACGAGTACAGACTGTACATGTACTAGAACTTCGATACATCATGTGGCATGGCTGCTTCTTCAGCGTGTTCTCCAAAAAAAGCCTGAGCTGGATCCGTGCTCACGTAGATCGTAGATCTACTCGGTGTCCAACGAGTTGCGTAGAGCCTGAAATAGACATGAGTGGCTGTGTACGTGAGTTGGCAACATCATCGTGAGAGGCAACACAGCCAGAAACGGACAAGAGCATGCAGAAAGATCACTCTTGATCATTATATGCGATATTTTCCTGTACATTTGATATGGTTTGCTTCCTGAAGGCCATCACAATAAGCGATATATCGGTATAGCCGATAATAGTGTATATAGTGATATTCTAGCTGTATTTTTTCAGATTTGATTTTGATTTTGACGTGTTCTATCACTATAACCGGTATATCATTATATCCGGACACTTTATAAACGATACTTACTGTACATGTTCATGGTGTTGAAGAGCGCATGCAAGAACATGCCTGTACCCGTCAAGGGCAGGATCAGCGGAAGAATTAATTTTTTTGATTGGCAGGCCCACCGGAACCGGACCAGTTGGTCAGGTTATCACCGGACCAACTGTTTGTCCACCAACACATGTGCACTACTGTGGAGAGATATTTCGACACACAAAGTTCTTTTTCCCGCAGCTCTATCTGTAGAATACCAGTATTCAGTTACCTTCGGTGACTTCTTTCACTTGTGATTTGTTCTCCTCCCCTCCCCATTACTATTATTACTAACTTTGTCACGTCGCTCGCATGTATGAAAGGAGGCGCCATCGGCTGTTAGTGTTGCGACTTTTAGAAAATTTTCAACAACAACAAAGTATGATAGGCCACGATACTACCGGAACAATCAAAAACTGCTTCCGGTGTCCTGATCGGTCTGGCCATGCGCCAGCCGTCCATACTTTGTGTACGATATGGAGGGTATACATATGACCACCTCGGCAGTGAATACACGTTGGTAACCAACAAGTTGCTCCGGCCATGGCCTGACCAGCTGGACCTGTTCCACTGGGCCTGCAAGTATGGTGGAGATCATTCAGTTCAGCACTCTCAGGGGCGTCGGAAGGCATTTTAGTGTGGTTTGGTCAGCCACCAATTTACTCGTGGAGGAGGTGTGGCGGAGCCGAAAATTTCGGAAATTGATTGCCCAAAACTGTGTATTTTATTTATTCACAGGGTGACTGGGCCAAAACGTGGTACGGTCAATACCGTAGTGACCGTACCGTGTCCGACGCCCCTGACTCTGCAGTAGCATCATTTATTTCACGGTTCGCATGAGGCTCGGCTGGAAGCCGAGTTTTCCGCATCCGTAGGAACGCCACCACCCTCTAGGATCAAGGCGCAGATGCGGCTCCTAAGCCGTGGGAGGTGAGTAGATCAGACCCACCACAAATTGGCGAAAGACCAAAAATCCCATTCACTCTGCAGAAGCCCGTGGCGGATAATACAAGCAGAAACACTGGCTGATTTTAGTCCTTTTCTGGTAAGTGTCATGCATGTTTGGCACGGGGATAAAAAAATGGAGCTTAGTCCGAGGAAGTGCGTGCCATACGGTTTGTATGGTTCTGCCACTGAATTATTATTTCACTGCCTTTCGAGCAGAATCGGTCAATTTGTCGCCGTGAGCATTATCCACCAAGAGATGCAGAATAAGACGTGCAGCTCCTTTACCTTGAGGAACAGCACCAGCAACTCTTCCTTCTGCTTCTTCATCTGCTCTTCTTTGATGAGCTGCTGCTTGAGGTACTCGGCGCGTTCCTCTTCAGTCATCTTGGCAAGCTTGTTCTTCGCACTCTTCTTCCGTTTGGGAGGCATACTGGCAGCTTTGGCAGGTGTTCCAGCTCAGACTGTATCCTCTACAGAGAGTAGTGCAGATGTGTGCACCGATGTTCCGTGGCTGCCAGTCATTGATGGCAGGAAATTCACAGCTGACCGCGGTGCGAAGAAAGGCAAACGATAAAGAAGGGACCGTACGATAAACCTACGCTAAAACGCTCTTCCGCTCCCCGACAATAACAGCAACGGCCACGAGCGGGCACGAAACTGACAAAGACTCCACAATTGGCGATGCAGTATTCTTTAGAGTCTACATGCAGTTCGTTTCGTCTGTTGTTTTGATATTCCCTGGTAGAGCTAGAGAGCTAGCTAGCCTACAGACATTTGCGAAAATAGTTGACATCGGTGTGAAAAGAGCTTGTGATCGCTGTACTGCACTGGTTGGTTGAGTCAAAAATTTCGAATCGTGGAGTTCGAGCAGGCTTGACCAACAAGCAACACCATGATTCATGAACACTGCCATGCCACGGACTAGACCAGACTGCACTGGTCGTGGTGTTTCTCCCCGCCCCCGGCCGCGTTGAAGGGCGCGTGCTGCCATGGCTGTTGTCATAGATACCCCAAAAGTGTTATGCATGCTTTTTGGCGACTCTATTGATATAAATTTAGCATAAAAAAATACGAGATCAGCACGATCCCGCTGCGTGGGAGATGCCTAGCGCGCACCCAGCATGCAGATCAGACATTATACTAGCCAGCCGGCTAGCTAGCGCCGGCCGGCCGGGTAGATCTACCCGCATTTAAAGGGGCACTCCGGCTTCATTTTCGACGCCGAGTTTTCGATGGCAAGACGAAGGTAGGTGAAAGAGAAGACCCCTCGAACAAGAACGAGTCTCCAGAAGCGATCGAGTCGAGCGGGAAGACGACTTTTGAATTTCGCCGAGCGAGCGCTGATGACGTAATGAGGGATTAGCTTGCCGGTGGAAATGCACCTACGCACATACATTTCACATACTTTTTGGCCAATTTTCAATCGAAGAGGAGGTTGTTTTCTATGTTCTCCCAACGTTGTGAGCGATCCCGTCTTCTATACCCTTCCAGGTATCCTGAGGGTCCTCCAGAGGAGAATTTATCTCCAGCAAAGCGTTGTTGATCCGCTAAATTCGTCTCGAGACATATTCACCCAGTACAGATAAATGTAGAATGTTGAATCTGTGATAATTGTTGACGATGGAGAGAGAGGCTAATAGCCGCTGTCGCAGGGAGAGTGAAGCTGCTGGAAGTAACAACGGGGAGCCCGTTAGCATCACATGAGCACCCAGACTTCAAAGCAGCTTGACCAAATCGGAGGGTGCTGACTATTTCCCTCGTTGTGTATCGTGAATATTACACCAACATGAATTACTACACGTACGTATGCTGGTGAGTTTTTCTTGTTTTTGTTCGTACACTAGTACCCATGGCATGGCATGCTATGGCCTGGAGTTCTCTTTAGCAAATTCCTATTCCCTGGCGTTTTCCAAATTTCCGTGTAGTACTACTGAATGCGCGATCACTGTATTCCGATTTGGGTAGATGTGGGTAAAAAAATTCTATTTTCCAAATAGAGCGTTGGTAGAGAAATGGTTGCCCAAATACAACAAAATTGATTCTAAAGTTCTACAACTTGTACTAAAATCCAGTCGAAGTAAAAATGATTCTTCATGACAGTTGGGGTCAATGAAATCTGATCCAGGCATGAAGAATGGTGACGCCTGCCACCCCAAGAACGAATGCCCATTTGGTGGGGGATATCATAGTACTCGAAGCGGTGCGCGTTTCAGTGTGGCATTAGGAAGTTTTACATGATCTCTGGTCAATGCAACATACGATAGCCATCATGAATTGCAGGCCTCGAACGCAACTCAGACCAGAATTGGCAGTTCCCTAAGTTAGATGCTTTATAATTCCATGCCCCCAGCTGTAGTTATAGAGGTTTTTGCACATTATAGTTATAGTCGATAAGTTCATACTGATGACCACAAACAACGGCAGTTCAAACTTCAAATTGTTCATGAGCTGAGAGATTTCTCTTCACTATTTCTGTTGTGCACACAGGTCTGTCCAATATGCATTGACCGCAGTGGGTATGGTTTCTGCTCTGAGAAGGGAATCGCTGGAGCCACAGTCCAGCTAAACAGGCTTGCAAGAAAGAGAGAGGAGCCATCTTGTCAAGGCTGATACCTGATGTGTACCGGCAGAATTCTCACGAGATACCTCACAGACTACGTCTGGCGTATACTTCATAGTACTCGTTCGACTACTGTCTAGAATCAAGTCGACGGAAACAACTCTGACTTCAAACGAGCCGTCGATTAGACAAACAAAGCCTTCTCTTATATAATTGATCACTTTGACAACTCATGACCTATTCCTAACGATTGCCACCGCTTATAAAGGTGTGGAGTGCTGTTTGGAATGTGCTCACAATCTCAATAATTCAGTGCTCTAATTATTTGTTCAATGTGTTGGAAATTATTCCATTTTTCCTTCCATAAATGTTGTATCCACGGATAATCCACAGTGTTGCAAAGTTTCAGAGTTCTCAGGGTATCAAGCAAATTATTCCAAATACAGTGAAATTGCTAGTGGACATTATAGCGTTACTTGTAGTTCCCTGGTCCTTTTCTTTGCTGTAAATTAATCATTGGCCCTCTATCTGAGTCCAACAGTGAAATTGTTAGTTCATATTGAGTGGGTATATGGGAGGGGAGGGTGAAAATATTTCTATACAAGGGACCTGCAACTGTAATGCCATAGAAAAATAGCTGGCAAATATGTAGAAAACAGAAATGCATGTTCCCATCATTGTGCATGGACGGGCGCAGCAGGCCGAAGCTATCAGCCAGAACAGGACTATTTTACAATCACCTACAGATATTTGCGCTACTCCAGTATTCTCCGTGAGCTGTCCCATTCCACACTGGTTCATGCCACCATTATTTCTGGTATACCGGTAGTATCCATGTGCATAATTCCAAGACCATGTCGGATTCTTCTGTAATTTTTGCCGCGGCAAAAGTACATAGCAATGCTTGACTCGGTCACTGGGGCTGTCAAACTTCCCATCACAAATGAACTTCAATTTCTCTTCTGTTACAAGTATATGTACAGTACTGCCCATGACTTGGCCATGCTTCATCCACAGCTGGGCGAAGAATGTGGCGTTGAATTCCATAGCACACATTCTTGCTGCCATGCAGAAGTATGTTGAGAAGTGAATATATTTTTTACTGAAAGACAACAGCCACTGAAGAGGATAGCAGCAGGCTTGGGTGAATTTCCTGCAGGTACACGTTGTTTGTAGGTCCACTGGCCGGTCTCCATATCGTCAAGTTCAGAAATCACCTGTACTTCACATCTTGTGGAAGGGATCCTGATCGAATAGTTTCCTGATCATAAAATTCACTAAAACGGCGAGACAAATAGTCTGTACTCCCCGATTCCGTCAAGCTGCTTTGAAGTCTGGGTGCTCATGTGATGCTAACGGGCTCCCCGTTGTTACTTCCAGCAGCTTCACTCTCCCTGCGACAGCGGCTATTAGCCTCTCTCTCCATCGTCAACAATTATCACAGATTCAACATTCTACATTTATCAGTACTTGGTGAATATGTCTCGAGACGAATTTAGCGGATCAACAACGCTTTGCTGGAGATAAATTCTCCTCTGGAGGACCCTCAGGATACCTGCAAGGGTATAGAAGACGGGATCGCTCACAACGTTGGGAGAACATAGAAAACAACCTCCTCTTCGATTGAAAATTGGCCAAAAAGTATGTGAAATGTATGTGCGTAGGTGCATTTCCACCGGCAAGCTAATCCCTCATTACGTCATCAGCGCTCGCTCGGCGAAATTCAAAAGTCGTCTTCCCGCTCGACTCGATCGCTTCTGGAGACTCGTTCTTGTTCGAGGGGTCTTCTCTTTCACCTACCTTCGTCTTGCCATCGAAAACTCGGCGTCGAAAATGAAGCCGGAGTGCCCCTTTAAAAAAAATAAAAAAATAAAAAATGCACTGTTTTATGCAGTGCAGCTGCATGCGCTAGCGCGCTAGCTAGCTAGCTAGCTAGCTGATCATGTGCATGCATGCCATGCATGCCGTTCTTGCATGCACTCAGCATTATTTAGAAAAGCGATCCTGTCAGCTTTTCTATTATTGTGTTCACATGGCAAGAAAAACGACACCGCTATGCTACGTAACTTTCTACGTAAGGTGCTCGGTATTTCACTTAGGCTACGTAAATCTCTACGTAAGGTGCTCGTTATTAGATCTACCAACGGGTGGAAGCCGCGTGCTGTGCACTGCACGGCAGAGTCGCCAGACATTGTGTTGCAGTGCAGTCCGTGTTCGGATGTGCATGCGCAAGGAACTTCCTTCTTTGGAACTGCTTCTTGTATGAGCTGTTTCGGATATTTCGACTCCTGGCCTGGCTTATTTCGTTTCGGCGCTGCTGAGACCTCCTTTCGCGGAATATTACTGACAGGTGAGTTGACCAGTTCCCTTTGATTCATTTGCTTGTGTTCACTCTTTCATTTACGAAAAGTGTGCTGATTTTGGGCGGAATGCAATAAATAATGGAAAAGCTGACAGGATCTCTTTTCTAAATAATTTAGCTTTTCCGCTGCCGAGGCCTCCTTTTACGGAATACTCGATGACAGGTGATCTCTGAGTTGACCGGTTTCCTTCGATTCATTTGCTTATGCTCACCCTTTCATTTACGGAAACGTGTGCTGATTTTATTCGGATTTAGATCCATTTGTATCTCTTTGCCCTTGTCTACAGTGTACGAAGAACGCGAGTTCACCTTCTTGACGGTAAGGCTTACCGGTATGTTAAATGTGTTGTCGAAATACTCATATTCATTGTACATTGGAACGTTACAAGTAAGGCACTGGTCAGTGGCATACTATCGTTGGCAGTTCCCAATCTGGAGGGAAAGGTTCAAGGACCCATTGACCGAGTTTGCAAAATAAACTCGCATATCAGGGAAAATCTCCATTGTGGAGAGGTTCAGTAAACTTGTTTGCTTCATACGAAACAAGCCAATGGGTGCAGTCTCGTCTCGTGAAGATCTCGTACTTGTATGATTGGATTTGTTTACTTGAGTCTGGGCTGTTTGATTTATTATTTGTGAGTACCGCCGAGATTGCACTGCCCTAAATAAAGTTTCGTGCCGCCAAAGCAAGAATTACGATCTGCAATCTGTTTGTAGTACCTGCAAGAATGTGCTGTACTGCCTGTACATGTATCGTACTTTCTCTGTTGCTGTTTCAGTTGCCGTCATGTTGTTAAAGAAACGTTCAGTAGAGAGGTTCTGCAAAACGAAAATTCGAACGAAGTTTCTCGACAGTCCTTGCGAAAGTGTGTACGAATTTTTGCACGAACTTTGCGTTCTGCACATTTTCGTAGTTTGCGCGGGCCAAGTGCACGTACGCCATGACCCGATCTCACGAAATGTCCTACGAGTACGACAGTTCATTTCGCGTTCCCTGCAAGTTTCGCGTCCAAAGTTGCGAAGTTTTGCACTTCATGGCAATGAACGAACCTTTTTACGCATTTTCGTTTTGCAGAACCTCTCTAGTGACTCATTTGTTTCATACGAGACGAGTCAATGAGTTGGTGTGGCTTAGAATCTTTCGCTGTAGAAGAAATCTATTCGTATGTCTATTGGAGAAATAATTGTATTTACTGGTTATAAAATAGGTTAAGACAAACTCACAGAATAAATACCATTGGTCCCTTGGTGTTCGTCCTAAAGAGGTTCGACTGGATATCATTCATACTCACCAAAAGATGTGTAAGATTTTATTATTATGGAGTGCCTTGTTTATCTCTCAGTACCTCCAACCATAGCCTCGCCCCTTTTATCCTCAGGATCAGTGTATTTGTTGGAACGAGGTTACGTAATGTATTTGTTTACATTTTAATACATGTTTATTGTTCCTCCTTTGCTGTGTTGTTTTAGAAAATCGTGGACTACCAGTTTGAAGTCATTGAACTACTTCCAAAAGTTGTATCGACATCAACAGGATTACGATTTCAGTGCAATATGATGCAGGATGACCTTATCACGATAACCCATGATTATAAACCATTATCGCCTTCTTAGTATTTGACCCCACTAATTTCCCTGATACCTAAGCGGTCAAATATATCGCGTATTTGACTGCTTAGTCAAATACACGATATATTTGACTACTTATATTTGACTCCTTAGAACTTCTTGGACTTAGAAATTTTCTCTTCAACTTAGAAAAAGAAATTTTTGAAGAAAGCATTAATACACAAGATGGGATTTGAACTCACAACCTTGTGAATCTCAGTCACTCTTCCTCACCACCCAGCCACTGTGTTACCGATGCTGAACCTAGTTTAAACAATAATCTTGACTTTCAATGCAGTACAATGTGGTATAGGTTATAGTATAATACTAGAATTACAAGGATTATGTTGTATATGAAGAGAAACTATTGCGTGGAGAACACGATAAATAGATTATAGACCTCATAGTTGGTCTATACAGGATATATAGACCTCGTAAAAGACCTCGGGGGACCTCGGTCTTTTACTCGGTCTATATATCCTGTATAGACCTCCTAACCGGTCTATAATCTATACTTATAAACACAGAATCAACAAAAACATCTGCGACAAGTACCTGGTTACATTTCTCAAATAAATCTGATCGAGGGTGGGGAAATCTGAAATATCTGAAAGGCAAGACAATTTTATGACAGAGTCATGAAATTCTGCTACAGCAACATGCACAGAATGACCTCCGTATAAAAAAAGTATCACCACTGTCCACCACTACACTCACATGTATCCCCGCAGAAGAACATGCTAGTGCCATTTTCTGCAAGAAAAGGCTTGCACATCAATGCGTATGATACGGTGTAATTGACATGATGTGAAGGCCATCATTTACATAATTATTGATATAGGGCATTCCATTGGTGACAGAAAAAACAAAAGAAATTATAGCAATAAAAACTGCTTTATGGCAGTTTTCTAAAAAAAGTTATTGTGTTCTAGTCCATGGACCCCGTCTAAAAAGTAAGAAATTAACGAAATGTGATAGCCGAAAATTAAAATTTCACACAAAACCTCACAATAATCACATACAGAATGAAAAGCTACATGCAGAAGACCTGTAAAAAGGCCCTAGGCCTGTGGGACTGCCGTATTCAAAATTTAATAATAATAATAATAATAATAAGACCTTTTCCCCTCGTGATCCTCTTTCCTATGCATGCATGACATGCATGTTGCCAATTGTTGTGCGGTACAAGTTTAGTGTTGAAAGCAGCATTTCAAGTGTTGTGATTATTGTGAGGTTTTGTGTGAAATTTTAATTTTCGGCTATCACATTTCGTTAATTTCTTACTTTTTAGACGGGGTCCATGGACTAGAACACAATAACTTTTTTTAGAAAACTGCCATAAGGCCAAACTAAAGAAGGTGTGTGGTTCGACTCACCCGACCGACCGTACAATTTCAGCCCGACCGTAACTTTTTTTCGGCGGGCTGTCGTGTGACTGACGTACGTGGACTGAACACGTCCACGTCTACGTGCTGTGCGGCGTGAGTCTGCGGACGCAGGCGGCTCCTTTTGGACTTGACTTGTAGTTGTACTGCAGTGCAGTGCAGTGAGTGGTACGACTGCTGCCTTGTGCTGGTAGTAGAGTCTACTCGATACGCGTACGCGCGTATACAGTGTATTTACATTACCCGTATAAAAACCGCTCTGTGAGCGGTTCTGAAAAACCTCTACTGGTGCAGCCCCGTCGTAAAAGTAAGAAATTAGAACTGGCGCATTGTCCTCCCAAATGTGAACTGATCCACCTAAATCGCGATTGACGGGACCCGAACGCACCAGTAGCACGAGGTTCCTACCTGTGGATGCAGCTGGGGAGTGGGGACGCTGGTCCATAGCCAAAGTCAAGGTGGGCTGCGGGGTACTGTAAGTGTTGTACTATGGTAAATTGATCAGCGACGGCGCCGGCCCATTGCTGTGATCCTGTGGCCTGTGCCCTCCCGACCTCGTGCTACTGGTGCGTTCGGGTCCCGTCAATCGCGATTTAGGTGGATCAGTTCACATTTGGGAGGACAATGCGCCAGTTCTAATTTCTTACTTTTACGACGGGGCTGCACCAGTAGAGGTTTTTCAGAACCGCTCACAGAGCGGTTTTTATACGGGTAATTTCAGTTCTTTTTCTGTTCCCTCCCCCACCCTGGCCCAGTTCCGAAGATAAACATGGTGAGCACGCGCGCGATGCACTGTATGTAGCCATGCGACTGCAATAGCACACTGATACATTCCAGCCCTCCCCACCTCACTACCCCGCACAGAGACACATTGTGACAAACACGCAAATGCACATGGGCACGTGCGCGATGCACTGTATGTAGCCATGCGACTGCAATAGCACACTGATACATTCCAGCCCTCCCCACCTCACTACCCCGCACAGAGACACATTGTGACAAACACGCAAATGCACATGGGCACGTGCGCGCGCACACACACACACACACACACACACACACACACACGACCCAAACAGGAAATTCTTGATGAACATTGTATAATGCCACGCAAAGCAGTGGCTACCATACTTCAGGAAGTCAGTTGCGAAACAAAAATAATTCAACTACAATGTGTAGGTAAGCTGGCGGCCAAAGCACAACATTGCAAACCGTGATGATATTTGCCTAAGGATTGCAGTTTGCAGACCACACCATGGAAGCAGTGAATACAGAATGATTGTAATGTCATGCAAAGACAAGCAAAGAAGTGGCCACCATACACCAGAACGGAAAGTCACATATCCAACAGATAGAGAAATGAACAGCATCTGGTACAGCCCACACAAAACCAAGCTGACCTGAACTCGTCCGAAGATCGTAAGTGGCAGATCCTTTTCAACGATAGCATGCAGGTGTACAATACACGCTTGGACAAAATCTGACCGTGTCACCGGCATACATTGTCATCACATGCATACCCCACATGTTACACACATGCACAGTAGAAGCACAATAAAAGCAATGGAAAATATGAATGGGGTTGCTGAAGCATCTTCACACTTCAAATTCAGACTTCGATGTGGTCGTCACAAGATGAAATACCTGCAAGATACAAGTGATGCAGAAAGAAAGCATAAGGTCGTGAGGTAGGCTATGAGACACCACAAATGGGTCACCTACATGTATGTTCAGGGCTGGTGTACACACACACACACACACATGCAGAATGATCATAATCGAGAATTTCCCAAACTGAGAAGAGCAATGAAATCCACTTGCATGCACAGGAGCAATTTTGCAGTATGATGCGCAGCTTGGGAATACACCTCTTGGCAATGGATTACATTCCCATTGGAATTTCCATTCACGTGGGATTCACAGAAGAAATTTGGCAGTGTGCTGCGCAATGCGACACGACCTGCGATTCTGCGTGCGATGCAAACTCGCACAAAATACCATTCACAGAATCACGACAAGACGTAAGCGATGCAACAGCGCCTTGCTGACGTGCCTCAAGTCAAAGCTCAATGAGAATGCGTTTGTCGGTTACAACTGGTACAAATGTACAAGCAATTTCTGAAAATGCTCCTGTGAATCCTGCTTTAAGCAGTGCAGGAATGTCCCTCCTCCGCCCCCCCCCCCACCCTCAGGGAACTTGGCAAGGAAGGGTGGTCTTCGCGGTTCCCAACATCTATTTGCAGTTTCTCGTCTCCACTATGTCTTTTCAATGGGGATTTGTACGTACCATAAAAGCAAGCCTAAAATGAACAGCACATTTGCCGTTCCCCCACTGGGGACTCTGAGGATGCGTTCCACAGCTATCCTGATAAGATATTCCGAGAAGCGGTGCTGTGCAATGCATTGTGAAACTCAAAAAAGCTGACCAAACGCATCCAACGTCAAACTTCAATTGTAATTCGCCAGCTGACTACTTTCAGACTCCATGTAGGTCCGAGTACATCTGGCTTAAAAGTTGACAACAACGGCGCACGCACATAAGCAACGACCACCTTACCTGTACTGTAGCAGTACTTCCGAGTTCCCGTATGGGAGTTCCTCATTGTGTGTGCAATAGCAGCCTCATCGGACCAGTTCAATGCGACGCGGACAGTCCGACACTGAGGAGGACATTGAAGAAGTCAGAGACAGGAAGAATGGTTGATTTACAACTCAACTAGCAAGGCTGCACACCACGAAGTTTCACTCACCATTGTGCCGTCCTTCTTGGAATGCAGAAATAACGCTTCTTCTCGAGAACGCAGCCTGTGACAGACAAAAAGGAAGGAGCATCGCCATCGGCATTGGTCCTCTGCTATCACCGATTGCCGAGTTGCACAGTTCACTCTAACAAGACTGAGGACGTTCAAGAACTCCCCATCCATACCATCATTGGAGTAAGAGGAAAGGTCAGATTGCCTAGCTCCACCCAGCATTCCTGGATGCCAGAATGTGCTGCCCCCCGCCCCTCCCTTAGTACTACCTGGAAAGGGCAATATATGTGACAGCGTTCACCAGTACAGTCGGAAGAGAACATGGGAGAAGGCAAAAAGGCAACACACATGAATCCCTTATAAACAAGCAGTGGCAACTCTAGCACCAGTAATGTTGGACTTACATCCCAGCCATTGCCGCCGGATTCAGCGGCTTCTTCTTCTTCGTCTCCCATCTCCGAAGCACTCATTCCCGTAAGTTCAGTCCTGGGAGTACAGTCGAAGGAGGACGTTGGAAAAGGCAAAAAGGCAACACACATGATTCCCTTATAAGCAAGCAGTGGCAACTCTAGCACCAGCAATGTTGGACTTACATCCCAGCCATTGCCGCCGGATTCCCACACTTCTTCTTCGTCGTCTTCCAGTTCCCAGGTTCCATCTAATGATTCTTGCAAATGCTCCTTCCCGTAAGTAAGTGCAGTCCTGGCCTGGGTGGATGCGCAGTACATTGACGATGGCGGAGATCGAGATGTAGATGTCGCAGGTCAGGGAGCCGGCTCGCGGCTAGGGATCCCGACAGCAGATTGCGGCCAAATAATTCGGGACGATGCCGGACGCCAGTCAGTATGAAGTAGCGAATTGCGGACCGCCACGTAGATTGGGGTCGCGGGGTCATAATCCACGGGCACTACTCGTACGTTGCTCCAAAAAGGGCACTGCACTGTTCCACAGTTGCTGTTAGCGGTCGCCAAAGGCACTTGGTAGGCCGGTAATTGGGTCACGTGTCAACAAAGTGTCAACAACGTGTCAACAACGTGTCGACCACGTGTCTTTAGCGGTACACTAATTTTGGTGTCCCCAAACTGAAAACATCGAGCACCAGTATGGAAAGGCTTTAGACAGAAAGCCTTTCCAATGTACTAAAAAATATATTTAAAAAAACAAAAATCCGCCCGCCCGCCCGTAAAAAAAATGTCCATGTTAGTCGAACCACACACCTTCTTTAGTTTGGCCTAAACTAAAGCAGTTTTTATTGCTATAATGAGCATGCATGCAGTACATGGTATACGATCACGTGGCCGTACCCGTGGGTCTACCAAAACTGAAACACGTGCACGTGAAGAAAGACTCGCAAACTCGAAGTCAAACTGCTACTGTTCTGTACTTTTCAAAGAGAACCACATCATGCACATGTCCATGGTTTGAAAAAGAGAGCATTCAGGAACACGGCGTGTGTTCTCTTCATTTGCAGTTTGGTTTGTACTTGTAGCAAGGTGATTTTCGTAACCTAACGAGGAATGGAGTCGTCATCGAGTTGTCGTCGAGTTGGCATCGTTGGCTTCGGAAATTTAGGTAAGCTTTCAAAAGCAATCCTCGCGTCAGTTTACGTTCCAATATTTGAGGATATGAATTCTCACGTACAATAACACCCTTACCCCTTTGCCTTCTCACATTTCATCACTAACCGAGGCGAGGCTTCGTTGCACTCTGCCTTCATGGGTTGCTTCTACTATTCCTCGGGTAGACTACTATCAGTTCTTGAAATAATAAAATAATTATTGATATCGTCAGAGTCCTGTGCGTGAGGTCCAGAGTTTTGGAGATATTAGTGAGGTTCTGCCACACGGTATAACGTGCCAAAGTACGTATGGAAACTTCGCCGCGGTACGGGATTTAGTTTGATACGGATTTTTTCATACCGTTTTCCGTGTGAAGCTCGCTTCACACGGACTGGACTCCGTGTGAAAAGTGAGCGTACAGAGTACATGTGGCGGGGTGTTCGTGCATGCTTCGTGCATGCTACGTACAGCAGAACCGGTGCAACGTAGGAAAAATCCGTGTCAAACTGCACTGCAGTTGACACGGAATTTGGTACGTAGTTCCGTGTAGCAGAACCTCTCTAATGATTTTCGTCTGGCTGTAGCGAAATGTGCGTCCGTGTGTGCGTAGAATCTACGTGTGTGCGTGCGTGTGTGTGTGTGTCAATGTGTGTGCTTGCGTGTGTGTGTTCTTGTGAAACGAGTGTATTCTAAGTATGGCTAGATGGTCTAAACAATTAGTAAACATGCTAGTACCGGTACTAGTAGCAGCCTGTTTGTTTCCTGATCACTGTTGTGTGTCTCGTCTGCATGATTGTACAGTCGTCCCTCTTTAATCCAGCACTGTATAAGGGCGCGTTCAGACTACCGATAAAAAGTGACCGATTGGGAAAGTCGCCAAGGTGATTTGATCACGTTACCGGTGGGAAAGTTTTACTGCCGCGGCTGCTGCGGCAGTAAACTTTTACCGGCAGTAAAAAAGTGCTCAGGCTGCATGCGCGCTGGGAAAAAAGGGAAAATCCCTTGTCAGTGCCGCGGTGAGAGCTGAAAACTTCACGGTAACGTTAGTTTGTTATCGGTAGTGTGAATGCCCTTCACGGTTTATCGGCATTCACGGTTTGACCGGGTTCACGGTAGTCTGAACGCGCCCTAAACCAGCACCCTCTATAGGCCAGCATAATTTTCAGTTACCAAATTCTCCTTTTCATGCACATTGCAGCAGTAAATCAGATTTTCTAATCCAGCACCCTCCCTAATCCAGCAGAATCTCCATAGCACAATGGTGCCAGATTACAAAGGGACCACTGTACGGGTATTCCCAACGTACTTCCTCTGTGCACTACAAGCTGTGCATGGTTGTACAGTGCTGGCAACTGAAATCCGACTCCCGAGCGATGCGTTCACTTTCCAGCGGTCTCTATTAGTACTTCGTAGTTGTATTATCGCGTGTTGGGTCTTTGCGATGTGACGGCACCGCTCAGGGGTGGGATTTCAGTTGCCAGCACCGTACAAGTAGTACTATAGAGTATATTAGAGTGAGTTTGGAATCTGATGGTAATGTTGAACGGTCGCTGCTTGCCTAACGACTGCACCGTAAGCTTGTGGTGAGAGCATCGCCGGCCCATAGCGAAGGCTCCTGGTTGCCATAGCGAAGGCTCCTGGTTGCAGTCCTGCTGCTGACAGTCAATCTTGTCTTCAAACTTTTGCCCCATTTCAACACCCTCAACTGATGAATAAGAAACACTGATAAGTAATGAAATGGCAACAAAATAAGATCAACTGTGCACTCGTATCAACAGCAGAAAATGAAGAAAGTTAAGTTCCTTGACTGTTGTTACGAGTGCACAGTTGATCTTATTTAGTGCCATTTTACGACTATTGTCTCCATTATTTGGTAAGTAATAATGATCTTTATTTGGATGGCCCAAACTGCCCAAAGGCTAGCTGCCTATCATGTTGGCGCTATGCGCCGGCACTTCACAGAGAGTGAGCAGGAGTTCAACGAACAAGCCGTTTTAGTGCGAACGTACGTGGGCAGAAGTAGTACAAGAACGTGGACTATGGATGTGCAAGCAAGAGGTGCATACCAGTGCTCGAGATTATAAGAAATAAAACCGGACAACTCGATATTGAGTGAATAATTTATGTACAAGGCAAAAGCTTGAAATCATTACTTCATATAGGAGTCGTCCATGACGAGCGTCTAGACCTTTGACACGCAAACAGCATGTCAATAGATCAGAGTTCAAGTCAAGCGACGAGGTTTGCTCCGGCGCTTGCAAGTGTGGCGTCGCATGGCAGTCCAAGGTTTATGTTCTCAGTGACCCTGGTCTGCTGCTCTGTACGGCGACACACCTGCAAGCCCCGGTACGAAGGGCAAGGGGAGAAAAACGCGCTCTGTGCTGTGTTATACTGCGGGGAAATACAGCCAGGACGCGCTTCCTATCGTGACACCTATCAATCGTAGAACTTCGGGTGCGGAGGAGAGAGGCAGACAGAAACAGAGAGACGTAGATAGATAGAGAGACAGAGGCAGACAGAGATACGTAGATAGAAAGAGAGACCATAGATTTGTGCTTTAGACAGGCAGGTGCAAGAAAGTGAGATAAATAAGCATGTGACTGGAACGATCACCACCGGGTCCCATCTTTACCTGGTGATGCAGGCAAGATCCACACCTGGTTGAGTTGACTTGGGAGGACTCATCACCGTCTTCAGCTTCTCCACGCAGCGTGGGATGCGGAGCCGTGTTCAGCATTGTCAGGGAGACAGCACTGCCTGGAGGTCGTAGTTATGGGCATTGTCTGCGCAGTTCAGGCAGCGCTGGCGTTGTTTAACCACCAGTATCCACAGCTCGGCACAGCCGCCGCCGCCAGCGCCGACCTTGTTTAACCACAGCTCGGCACGGCTGCATTGATTTTGAAAATGTGCCCGGTCCACGTTTGCAGATGATGACGATCACGGGTGACAGGCTTTGGTTGGCTTGCGTGTGCATCAGCGAATAGTAGTAGGGCATAGTCTGGGCGGGTAGCTGGAGATCCGGGAGGGCGCGGGCAGGTCGAGGTGCGGATAGCTGGAGGTCCGGGCAGCTGGAGGTCCGGGCAGCTGGAGGTCCGGGCAGCTGGAGGTCCGGGCAGCTGGAGGTCCGGGCAGCTGGAGGTCCGGGCAGCTGGAGGTCCGGGCAGCTGGAGGTCCGGGCAGCTGGAGGTCCGGGCAGCTGGAGGTCCGGGCAGCTGGAGGTCCGGGCAGCTGGAGGTCCGGGCAGCTGGAGGTCCGGGCAGCTGGAGGTCCGGGCAGCTGGAGGTCCGGGCAGCTGGAGGTCCGGGTAGCGAGGCCCGGGTAGCCAGAGGTCCAGGCAGGTAGATGTCCGGGTAGCTAGAGGTCCGGGCAGCTAGATGTCCGGGCAGCTGGAGGTCCGGGCAGCATTGGCAGGAGGGAGCGCTGTCCTCCAAGGCCAAATTCCCCTGATGCCGGATGTCATACCTACTTCTGGGTTTTCCCCCAAGCAGAAGTAGATGATGATGAAGCGTCTACATCCTCGGCAATTACGTGGAGCAGCTTCCAATCTTCCTTTGGCAATCGACAGTGAAAGAACAGGGTGCTTGGAAAGGATAGAAGCCTGGCTTTATACCCCAGCTTGCATGCGTTTGCACCAGTGCTACACACTTGTGTGCTGTGAGTGTCAAGCCAGTGTGATTGCATGACACTGGGTGGGGGTTTTCGGCGCTAACATGTGTAGTTCTGGCTGTGCAGTGCGTCCTGTAGAGCGCGTTCAGAGTTCTGCCACGTTTCAGTTCAGACCGGCGTGAAATCCTCCGCTCACTGGCATCACGTGGTATCTAGTTGCAGCTCTCTGTATGGGCATGGTGTGCTTCTGGCTTGCTCGATGCTGATAATTGGCTGGTGCAGACGGCGCTCAGCTGTGCTGATCCCATGTGCATTGTTCACACTGTGTGCAGTGGTGCGGGGTCAAAATCCTCGCCGTCAGCTAACTAGCACGGTGTTGTATTTAGTTGCAGCTCTCTGTGTAGGCTCTGTGTGCTTCTGGTGTGTACGAGCAGTGCTGAATGATGGCTGGTGCACACGGCGCTCATCATGTGTGGATTGTTCACGCTGTGTGTGTGTGTGTGTGTGTGTGTGTGTGTGTGTCGGATCGCTCGCTGTCATTAGTCAGTAAGCGAAAGCTATACGTGGCCTGTGTCTTGTCCATTTTGCTGTACGGCAGTGAGTGCTGGACGCCCTTGAAAGCTGATAGTAGACGTTTGGATGCCTTTCATCATCGCTGCATCCGCACAATATTAGCCATCCCTCGCAGTCAGCAGCAATCCGATCGCATCACGTCTGCGCAGTTACGTCGTCACTGGGGTGACCCAGTGCCACTCTCTGTTAAGATGCGCCATCGTCGTTTAGAGTGGCTTGGTCATGTGGCTCGGATGTCGGAGGACCGTGTCCCATTGCAGCTGTTGTTTGGTCGTTTGTTGGCTGCGCGCCCCTTCTGCGGTCCCACCCTTCTGCGGTCCCAGGCGTAGGTGGAGAGACGTTGTGGCTACTGACACAAAGTCCATTCCAAACTGGTTTGATTGCGCACAAGACCGGTCAGCTTGGCGAGAGCAGGTTCTGGTTTTCCAGCCTCCTCGGGCAGTAGAGAAATCCGTACTCTGCTCATCTTGCAACCGGGCTTTCTCTCGTCCTCAAGACAAGGCACGGCACAAGTGTTTGGCTGAGCGCCAACTTCCCGTCCACCAACAGCGTGGTTCAGCACAGTGCGTCAGTTGCTGCCGATGGTTCCGTAGTAAGGGTGGGCTTGCAGTTCATCGCTGCCAGCCTGCACTCCCTGAACATGCAGATACGGCATTGACGGCGTCTCTCGCTAGTTGCTGCTTCCAGCATTGTCAACGCTGCAATCGCTGCTTCAAGTCCCGGGCTGGTTTTAACCGCCATAACTGCAACCGTGGAAAACGTCTTGCTGCAGCCGATAGGGAATCACTGCCGCTGATCTGCATGCATTGCCCGAAACGTTTCCGACGACAGCAAGATTTGACGAGGCACCAGAAGTCCTGCCAATGACGGTGCACTCCAAACTCTGGCCCCCTCCGGGGGTGACATTGCCCAATGGGCAGTCATGCTATAGTAGTAGTAGTAGTGTGTGTGTGTGTGTGTGTGTGTGTGTGTGTGTGTGTGTGTGTGTGTGTGTGTGTGTGTGTGTGTGTGTGTGTGTGTGTGTGTTGAGTGGTGTGGTGGCAAAAACTCATCGTCATCAGCTCACTAGCGCGGTGTTCGTCCCAGCCTCCAGCACAGTGTGAGCCTTGCCTGTACATATAGAGTTCTGAATGATGGCTGGTGTGCACATGATGGTTGACTGTGCTAATCATGTGTGTGCATTGTTCACACGATGTTGAGTGGTTGAATTATAATGGTGGTAATGACACACCTGGCAATATGGCGGTAAACACACCCCTGCCTACACACGTTCCCTAGGCTGCAAAGTTACTCTGGGACAGAGCTCTCCTTCTCGCCACCAGCATCAGTTTGCGCCTTGCGCCCAGTCGGTGCATGGTTGACGGTATCCGACATAGCAGGCTGGCACATCAGGTAGCGATGTTGAGTGGTGTGGCGCCTACATCATGGCCATCAGCTCGCTAGCTTTGTGTAGGTAGTATATAGTGCCAGCTCTGTGTGTGGGCACGGTGTGAGCCTTGCCTGTACAGTGCTGAATGGTGGCTAGTGTGCACATGGCGATCAACGGTGCTGATCATGTGTGTGGATTATTCACACTGTGTTGAGTGCTGTGGCGCCAAAATGGCGTCGCGCGTGTCTCATTGTGCTGGTTGCACGGACTTGAAGTGACAGTCTGCTGCTGCCGCTGCTGGCCTGCGGCGGCGGCTGTTGCCTCTGTGCCAAGAAGCGCTAGTTGAAGAACGTGTGGTTGTGTGCATGATGTGCTCTGCTTGCTGGCAGGTATGTGTGTTGTGCCCCCCCCCCCCCCCCCCCCCCCCAGAGAGCAGGTGTGACACTAGCACAATCATCACTGCAGTGCATTGCCTGTGTGTGTGTGGGGGGGGGGGGGGAGGGGGGATCACAGCAGATGCTGGACATCGATAATATTTTGTATGCTTTTCTATTTTCAATTTTTAATTTTTTATAATTAATTTTCGTATGCCAAGGCTGAGTGTGATAATACAGCGCATACTAAACGTTTTTTTTATTGTATGAACGGTATGCTGGACAGTTAGTATGTTTCATTTTGTGCGTATAAAGTGGTTGGCAACTAGATATTCTTGATTTATAGTTTGTTCGCTTCCGTGTCATCGATTTATGACCTAGCTGCTAGAATGCAGCCGTTGTTCACCATAATTGCGATGCATTCCGCTTTTGAAACTTGTGACGTGCATTCCACTTTTCATAATTGTGACGAATAATTAAAAAAAGGCACTACGCTGTGTGTAATTGTGTGTAATTTGTATGGTGCTGGCACCAGAAGGTCATAATTGTGTTTTTGTCATTCTTACTTGTCTTTCACCTCTCCTATTGTTGCGTATTGGTAAATACCTTGTGTGTAATTGTATACAGTCAACTTTGTGTATAACGACACTCGGCCAGGCATCAGAAAAGTGTCCTTATTCGCGAAGTGTCGCTATACCCGAAGTCTCATTATATGTATACAGATAGAATGGACTTTGCTCTGGGCATGGAAATTCTGTCGTTATTCGCGAATTGTCGTTATATCCGCAGTCATTGTTATTAGCCAAGTTGACTGTACTGCTGCCCTCAGAATGCCAACATAGTGTTTTTGCCATACTTATTCTATCTTTTCCCTCTCCTGTTGTTGTTGGTTGTTGTTGGTTGTTGTTGTTGTTGTTGTTGTTGTTGTTGTTGTTGTTGTTGTTGTTGTTGTTGTTGTTGTTGTTGTTGTTGTTGTTGTTGTTGTTGTTGTTGTTGTTGTTGTTGTCACGTACAGGTAAATACCTTGCGGATCAGATCGCCGCCAACCCGGACAGTGGCTTGCAGATTGCGTTTGTCTGGAATCGCACGCCGGCTGCCGTTCTCGATTCCGCCTATGCCAGTGTGGCGCTGGAGAAGCTGGAGGACTTCCGGCAAAGGTACGCAACGTCATTGTCTTTGTGTGGATGAGTACATGCATGCAGATGTGCACGCGCACACAATTGCATACGTAGATTGCGCATGCACTTGAAAAGAAGGAATCAAAGTGTTTCCGCTGTAACTCTGAGTTTCATGGTTCTACTGTTCATGAGACAACCATACTCCCGAGTGTAAGTAGATATGTTTTTTTTCGTCTCTCACATAATGTGGTCTTGTGTCTCAGCTTTGCTCATGTAATATGAAATGTTTTCTTCTGCAGTCAGACCTCGCTTAACCGCACACATCCGTTTTCCGCAAAAAACACCCCGATAGGCGAGAGAACCGGATAACCGAACAGCGGTTATGCTGGATGCATTACGCTTGCTGTAGATCTGTAACCAGCTATTTTCTTCCGGATTGCGAGGTATCCGGATGAAAGAGGACTGGATAAGCGAGGTCTGACCGCACTACTAAGTACAGTATAGGAAGAATCACTGCATCTATGTGTCTCACACACCAAGCCATGCGTCCCCATATGAAGGAGACCTGTCACCGAGATGTGTGCGTACCCTGTTTTGTGCGGTCTACTTCCGTTACTGACTTTCGTCTGCTTGTGCGTGTGTGTGTGCTGTTCTCTCATAGGAATGCTGATCTCATCGTGGAGGTTGCTCATCCGGATATCGTGCGTGATTACGGAGCCATCTTCTTGCAGTCTGCAGATCTTATGGTGAGCAGTGTGGACCGGTCGAGCCCTGGAGAGGATATACTACAGAAAAACCTGTAACTAAAGACCACCGTGACTAGCGACCAGCCTGGTACTACAGTAAAACCTGTAACTAAAGACCACTGTGACTAGTGACCAGCCTGGTACTAAAGACCACTTCGCCAGGCACGAACGATCTCACATTCATAAACATGTAATGGTTGTGCGGTGCAAACCTCTAACTAAAGACCACCTGCCACTAAAGACCGCTTTCTCTGGCCCCCAGGGGGTGGTCGCTAGTCACAGGTTTACTGTAGTCATGAACTAGTGAAGATATTCCGTGTTTTCTTGCATTGCTTGTCATCTGCGAGTCTGGCGTATTTCACACTGCCTGGCAGGAGTGCTTTTGGTCTGCTTTTCGCTTTTCGTCAGGCCCGTGTTCAACAACCAGCATCCATCCATCTGCATGGACAAAGGCTATGTTCGATACGCCTTGTGTGTCATTTCTGATTTTATGTGTGTTGGAGCATTGCTTGGTGTTTGTGGCGGCCCATCTCTCAACACAATGGGAGATCGACCGTATTTTCCGGAGTATAAGCCACGCCTAGATTTTTATATAGGAAATAAAAGGACCAAGGAACTACAAGCTACGCTATTATGTCCACAAGTGTAACTTGTAGTTCCTTGGTCCTTTTTCTTTTCTATCCATTTATCCTTGGCTCTCCATCCGAGTCCATTCTAGATTTTTTTGTCACAAAATACAGGCATCTATCCTATTTTCTCACCGGTAATTTGATCATTGTGGTATAAGCTGCACCGACTTTTATTTGGATGAATTACTGGTGCTTAAAGTGCTGCTTATGCTTCGATCTCGCCTGTCTTCGTGTCTTCTTCACCTTCTCTCCGTGTGCTATGGCCGGTTGCAGTTGCGAACAATCTTCCGGCGAGAGTGCAGTGTTCCGTGTCAAGCTTAGACTACGGTCATCGTAGTTGTCGCTGAGCCTTGTTTTTGCCGTGCTGCTGTTTTTTTTGTGTGTTTCTATGTGCCAGGTAGGCTCCCCGACAGCGTGTGCGAGCCAAGCCACCGAGGATGGGCTGCGGAAGTCAGCGCTTGAGAACAAGCACACGGTCTACATACCAAGCGGTGCTCTCTGGGGCGCCAATGATATCCTCAAGCTGGCCACGCAGGGAAAGCTGACGGTTAGTCTGCAGAAACTCGCCGAGCCTTGACTAGTTTTCACGCCACCGTTTGCTTGTAAACGGTGGTGGCAGGTGACGCGTTCAACTTCAGGGAATTTTAATAGGAATGTTGTACATGTATATAATGGAGTATCCCTCTATACAATACGGAGGCTTAGCAAGACGAAATTCGCGTTCACGTTCGCAAACATTTTTCAGTTCGCGAACTGGATTGCGAACTTTCGCATTTTTCGTTCGGAAAAGTAGTCAAAACACGAATCGCGGATTCGTGTCAGGGCAGTCATAAATTTACCACGCTGTACTGTCTGTACACAATGTACGTCGTGTCAACGTCTGCATGTGAGAGTTCTGTTTGCTAATCCTTCTCATAACGCGAATTCCGTCACTGAGTTCGACTTTCCTTGGAGAGCGAACGCGAACGCGAATTTCGTCTTGCTAATCCTCCGTAGTAATACAATTTGGCGCCTTGTGTCTGACTGGGACCGCCTAAGAATACCCCTCTCCTCTCTCTCTCTCTCTCTCTCTCTCTCTCTCTCTCTCTCTCTCTCTCTCTCTCTCTCTCTCTCTCTCTCTCTCTCTCTCTCTCTCTCTCTCTCTCTCTCTCTCTCCCTTGTAGGCGCTATGCATCACAATGAAAAAGCACCCGAAGATGCTGAAGGTGACTGAACCGCTCCGCAGTCTGTGTGACAAGGTTACAGACACAGTCACTGAGCTCTACTCAGGTAGGTGCATTCACTACGGTTTAGTCTCTGTGCAGGACACTTGTGTGTGTACAGCATACTATGAGGGCAGTGTACTCTCTGTGAAGGATAGTGTGGACACACCATACTATGGGTGCAGTGTAGTATCTGTGTTGAATAGTGTGGATACACCATACTATGAGAGCAGTGCAGTGTCTGTGTTGAATAGTGTGGACACACCATACTATGAGAGCAGTGCAGTCTCTGTGTTGAATAGTGTGGATACACCATACTATGAGAGCAGTGCAGTGTCTGTGTTGGATAGTGTGGATACACCATACTATGAGAGCAGTGCAGTATCTGTGTTGAATAGTGTGGACACACCATACTATGGGTGCAGTGTAGTACAATCGTCCCTCTCTAATCCGGCACCTTTTGCTACGGCATTTTCTGCTGGATTAACGAGGGTGCTGGATTAAGAAATCCTGCCCTTTGACCCGGCCCTACCCAATTACATGCATGTATCATACGTCAAAACGCAGGGTTTTTCCGTGTCGACCCCAGTATTTGGTGCACGGCTTTATATTCTCAACTTTTCTCCAGGAATATACACAGTGATAAAGTAAAACAGAGAACATGTTCACATGTATACGTACTCTTGCACACACAAGCACAGTCGATTTACGACTAGTAGTAGTAGTAGTAGTAGAATTTATTATTTTACTAGGGAACTCCCAACAGGCGTTGCCTTTTTACTGGGAACCCTAGGACTGCCGGATTATGAAATCAAACTACGTGCAGTTTGAGCGATTCGTTTCAAAAAGTCACTGCCGGAGGCGGAATTCAAGTGCCGGATTAAGATGTGGGAATTGAACGAAAAAATCGGTTTCATCAGAAAGTGCGCCGGTTGGCAAGGGTTCCGGATAAACAAGTGCCGGATTAGAGAGGGACGACTGTATCTGTGTTGGATAGTGTGGACACATCATACTATGAGGGCAGTGTAGTATCTGTGTTGAATAGTGTGGATACACCATACTATGGGTGCAGTGTAGTATCTGTGTTGGATAGTGTGGATACACCATACTATGAGGGCAGTGTAGCGTCTGCGCTGGGTACTTGGCTGGCTACTGTTAGTCGACAAATTTTCGGCCCAATCAAATTTCGACCTCTCAGCGCTAAAACCCATTTCGGCCGCATCAAATTGTCGACCTGTACTGCTGCCGCCTGTACTACTGTCACACTGAACCTTGCAAAAGAAAATTTCCGCCGCAACAAATACAAATTTTCGGCCAAACACGTCCAGGCCGAAAATAGCCGAAAATAAATATGCGCCGAATATTTGTTGCCGTACAGTAGTGTCTGTGCAGAGTACTCATGGTACTTGCGGGGCTACAGGATATTGTAACTATGGGATATTGTAACTATGGGATATTGTAGCTATGGGATATTGTAGCTACGGGATATTGTAACTACGGGATAGTGTTACTGTAGGACTCATGGTACTTGGCTGGCTACAGGATATTGTAGCTACTGGGTATTGTAGCTACGGGATAATGTAGCTACGGGATATTGTAGCTACGGGATATTGTAGCTACGGGATATTGTACCTACGGGATATTGTACCTACGGGATATTGTACCTACGGGATATTGTACCTACGGGATATTGTAACTACGGGATATTGTAACTACGGGATATTGTAACTACGGGATATTGTAACTACGGGATAGTGTTACTGTAGGACTCATGGTACTTGGCTGGCTACAGGATATTGTAGCTACTGGGTATTGTAGCTACGGGATAATGTAGCTACGGGATATTGTAGCTACGGGATATTGTAGCTACGGGATATTGTAGCTACGGGATATTGTAGCTACGGGATATTGTAGCTATGGGATATTGTAGCTATGGGATATTGTAACTATGGGATATTGTAACTATGGGATATTGTAACTACGGGATATTGTAACTATGGGATATTGTAACTACGGGATATTGTAACTATGGGATATTGTAACTACGGGATATTGTAACTACGGGATATTGTAGCTACTGGATAGTGTTATTGTAGGACACGGTGGCTGCGGCTCGCTTTGCAGTACATCGTACAGTGACGCACACCACTACCAAGACGATGAACACAAATCCTTTAAAATTTCAACAAGTATTTGCCCGATTATAAGTCGCACTCGATTATTAGTCGCACCCCCATTTTCAGGTTTGAGCAATATTGTTTTGATATACTGACTTCAGTAGTAATATATTGACTTCAGAAGTAAGTCGCGCTCGATTGTGAGTCGCACCCCCTTGTTTACCCTTGTATTTTTGTGTAAAAAGGTGCGACTTATACTCGGGGAAATACGGTATGCTGCCTTCATTTAGTATGATTACGTAACTTGCCTGCATCACAACCTGTACTCGCTCACTCACATGCGCAATCTCTCTTACCGGCACGTCTGTTTTGCTCGATTTGTTCGAGTTCTGACGTGATCCCTAATTTTGTTTGCATGGACTTCAGTTCCGCACAAAAGCTCATTTCAAGCCGGAGGGAGCGTGTACTGTTTGATTTAATGAAGACAGTGTATGTGCATGTTCGCTGTGGTGTTCTGTTTTGTTGGTTACTTTACCAGGTGATGTCCGCTCTCTTTGCCCACTGGCTCCAAACAACGTGAACACCATGGCCGCAGCGGCAATGGCGGCACACAATCTTGGCTTTGACAAAGTGCAAGGCAGGCTTCTGGCAGATCCACAGTAAGACAGCATGATAGGCGTCTTGGCTGCTTGGCTTGGCCTCCGTTGTTATGTGTGTGTATGTTGGCGTGTTGGTGTGTGTGTGTGTGTGTGTGTGCGTGTGTGTGTGTGTGTGTGTGTGTGTGTGTGTGTGTGTGTGTGGTGTGTGTGCGCGCGCTTGTGTGTGTGCTTCAGTTCACTCGTTCTCACACTTGTGTCCACAGGTGTGTTGGTTTGTGCCTGTACTAATGCAGCAGTCATGCTGTAGGAATACAAAAATTCTGAAATGTTGCGTGTTTGTTCCTTTTGGGTCGCGTATGCATGAGTATGTGTGCCGACGTGTGTACCGTAAAGTCTTGTATAAAAGCCGCACTTGAATAGAAGCCGCAATCTTGGACCCATCAAATCACACACAAGCCTGGTTTTAGTGTTGACATACATAGAAATTTCTATCTTGTATAGAAGGCTCTAGTAGTGAAACGAATATCAAAACCCAGTAGCCGAATATTCTTCGGCTTAACGAACGAACGAACGAATATTCTTTCGTTAACACGGATGACATCCCATGCCCTCCTCTCAGTCATTTTATTGGATATTGTCACTATTATTAGGCATGACGAACGAAGGCATATATTTCTCCATCATTTCTAGGTCATTTTTCACAAAAATCCCCAGCTGAAGTGCCTTTCACAGGCTCAAAAAACAGCTTGAGACGTGATTTTCGTTCGAGCGCCATACCTCCCCTCCAGGACCTCGGATTACGTTCGGGTGGCTTCTAAACAACAGCTGAGAGTTTGCTAATGCCGATAGATCTTTCGATGAAGCGATTCGGTCAAGTATTCACGAAGTTACGAAAGTTTGAAGTCGCCCGGTTGATTCTGTATACCGGGTTAACGAATATTCGCCATGAGAAATATTCGTTCGAATGTGTCAAACCGAACGAATATTCGAACATTCGGTATATTCGTTTCACCACTAATAGAAGCCTGTCTCATATAGAAGAAGCCTGCAAATTTTCACCAAGAAAGTCATAGAAGCCGCGGCTTTTATACAAGACTTTACGGTATTTGTTTCGTTTGTTCCTGTGTCGTTGGTCAGTGCTGCAGATCATGTGATCACGGTGGACGTAACCGGTCCGATACCTGCATCAGGTGGTCTACCAATGACGGTACAGACTGTACGCACCAACCCTGCTATTCCTGGCGCTGTCACCGGTCTCGCTACGTACATCTCCTTCTACAGCAGCCTGTTACGTGAGTCTGCGCCTTTCTCTCTGTGTGCGTTAGATTACACTGTACGCACTTGAAGTGATTCATGAATGTGCTAGTAATCTCTCCGTGCGATTTTCAAGTCATCAGCCCTGGAATCTATTCGGAATCCATTCACCCTACCCGGTATTCACATGGGATGATGTGAAGGTGGGGGGGGGGGGGGGGGGGGGATAACTTGCATGGTAGGAAAGCAGCAAACACTCCCTCCCGGTAGTTGTCAATGAGTTGTTGTACATGTACATGGAGTTCTGAGTGTCTTCTTGTGATCATTGCTGTCTGGAAAGATGATAATCAACATCTTGCCCGTCTTGGTGTGTTCTTTGTCTTCTCGCTGTGCTATGGCTGGGTGCAGTTGCTAACAACCGTCCGGTGGGAGTGCAGTTTGTCTGAGCCAATCTTTCAAGTAGTCGCTCACAACTCAATAGTTCATGTTCGCGGCACGAAGCCCACTGCCGAGGCCCAGAACTGCACAATCTCCGGGACGGCAATTGAATGTGGTCCTGTAGCGCGGGCAGTCGTCTAGTGTTTCAAGTGTTTCAAGTGTGTGTGTGTGTCTGTGTGTGTGTGTGTGTGTGTGTGTGTGTGTGTGTGTGTGTGTGTGTGTGTGTGTGTGTGTGTGTGTGTGTGTGTGTGTGTGTGTTAGTTTTAGCTTGTCTGCGTGAACAACTCCCTGCTCATCACACTATCTTGCCTGGTCTTCCCCGGCAATATATTGTTTTATCGCCGCTGGTTCGGCACCCTAACCTATTTATTTTGCAAGCAGGTCTGTGTCTCCGCGTGGCTTTGTATAGAATCTGCTGGTATCTGCTCTGTTTATTACATGATGACCAGAGTATGCTGCCCTTTTTGCCTTTGACTCTTGGCTATTATTTTATCTGCCTCTCTTACTTTGCCATCTGCTATTAATTTATAAACCCGCTTTTCATGCTGTTTTCGCTTGCCCCGCAGTGTTTCGCTGATTGCGTTATTTATTCCTGCGTACGGAAGTTCAGTTTAGCAAGCTGTGCTTGCTTGCTGTCAACCGCTCTGTTTCTTTCTCTCGATGCTACCTCAGGTTGTCCACAGTGCAGTCGACTTGCGCTCTTGCTCAACATCTTGCTGTTGATGCTGCTAACTCCTCACCGTTGTACGTGTATACTAGTACTAGTGGCTTTGGATTGGGGGGGGTGAATACTGTAAAAGCCATAATTATATATAACGAAGTGCTAATTCTAACGAGTTAACGAGGAGAAATCTGTCGTTAAAATAGAAATCGTTATACAGAAATCGATACATAATTACTGGCCTATTGAGCATTGAGAATGCGTGAGATTCGTTACGTTTGGTACACGTAAACGAGTCAGTTTTGGGAAATCGTTATTATATGCGACTCGTTAGAATACTGGCTTTTACAGTATTATTTGTTTTGTAATAAACGCACTTCACATTTCAAACTGGTGCATGGTGCTGCTTGGAATGCCCAACACCTGTCAGCATAGCAATACATGAAGCAATGGACTGTTGTTTTTTCAGTGGGTGCATGCTCCTCCATCTTCAGAATCTTGTTGCAGCCGGGGGGGGGGCGTAATATACAGGCACTTCGCGACTGCCTGACTGCAGCCTTTCAATATTGCCATCGCCTCCAGGTGTGGACCCGTGTGGAGTGTTATTTAATTGTATTGTACTGTAGCGGACATTGAAATCCGTTGAGAAGTCAAGCAACCACACGGGGCGCTCTGTGCAGCCGTGAGCACTGCTGGGCCATGTTTACAGTGTGTACGTGAACCACAGTGCATGAACCTCTAACTAAGGACCACAGTGCATGAACCTCTAACTAAGGACCACAGTGCATGAACCTCTAACTAAGGACCACAGTGCATGAACCTCTAAGGACCACAGTGCATGAACCTCTAACTAAGGACCACAGTGCATGAACCTCTAACTAAGGACCACAGTGCATGAACCTCTAACTAAGGACCACAGTGCATGAACCTCTAACTAAGCACCACAGTGCATGAACCTCTAACTAAGGACCACTGTGTACGTGAACCACAGTGCATGAACCTCTAACTAAGGACCACCTGCCACTAAAGACCGCTTTCTCTGGACCCAAGGGGTGGTCGTTAGTCACAGGTTTCACTGTACATGAGCTCCATCCCTACCTCTCTATTCGTTTTAGCTGGATACAGTCGGGTCCTGCTTGCCACCAGTACGGTATACTCAACACCCGACACAACTCGGCATCAAACCCATGTGACGGCAGCCCATGGATTTCAAATAGATCCAGGTTACATAGCAGACTCGGCGGAGGACGTTCAGCCCGGGTTGGTTGCAACTCGGAGTTTCATGCCGCTAGACAATCACCAGACAACTGAGATCCAGGTTATAAGTATTAATTTTGTCCTCTCGGCAAATCATGCGGAAGGATTACGATGGAAACCAGCCATTCTAAACTGTGGATTAGGTGGGTGCATGTGCGTAGTTGCCCCCGATAAAAAGAAGAAGATTAGATAAGTATTGCAATTGTGACAGGAACCAGTACATCAAGTACAAAATTAATAAGCCAGTACGGTATAAATTCCGGAAGAATGATTTAAAAAGAGTTTACTTCCAATGAATGTAGAATCATGCGCCTACTATCATAGCCCGGATATCAAACGGCAATAAAGTTGAATAACTCGAATAGCATGGACAGTGTTATCATAGGTGGATAGATCTACTTAGAACGGGGGTGTTGAATTCAGCAATACACTCTTCGGATCTTACAAAGCAGTAATTATAACTCCTTATTTTATGATAGAACGTGTCGCCTATGGTACTGCCGGATTGTAGTAGTACACAGAGCTGTCTTGAAGGAATCGTTAGCAATAATTGGTTGGGATAGGTAGAGATTATTTTGTATGCAGGGCATGGGTGACGTGGAGCAGTCAATGCAATCACAATTCAACCAACACAACGTGCAAGTATTACTCAGTAGGCTTGCTCGCCTGCAGATATCGGACTATGGGTTTTTTCGGATTGGGTCGCCGTCAGAGAATAGTATCATGCCACGCTGATATGCAGGTGATGCTACATGAGTACAGTGCAGTGTACATGCACAGATCATGCCGTTGCGTGGCATACTGCTCGCCTGCGCATGGCCACTTACTTGTCGTCACTGACTAGGAACTTATAACGCAAACGCAGACTAAGTCGTGTTCCTATCCTTTTCCAATCAATTCGTGCTCGGGTAGCAGGTTGTACAACCGTGGTCGCACCCGGGTACCGCGTACATCAAGGTGATGGGGTAGCAGGATGCATAGTGCTGGTCACTCCCGGGCCACGTACCGACATCAAGGTGTCGGGGTAGCGGGTTGAACAGCCCTGGTCGCTCCCGGGCCAGGTACCGGGTGCACTAAGTACTGAACGTGGTTAGCGGGGACAATGTACTGCGGCTGCTGCTGGTGAAACTGCGCCGGGGGTAATATCGGCGGTGCGCACACGGGCATCATCTGGACTGGCTGACCAGGTTGGCTCACCACCTGGTAGTACATGAGCTGCTGTGGAACAGCTACACTCTGAGCCACGCCAGTGGGCACTTGTCCTGGGACAGTGGGCACTTGTCCGGGAGCAGCGGGCACTTGTCCTGGGGCTAAATGTACTGGGGCAAGTTGAGCCTCTCCGGTCGATGCCTGGACCTGCAGCGCTGAGCTAGCAACATGAACGGACGGAGATCTGCTTCCGTGGCCCTGTTGAGCGGCTTCGTCCGCACTGCTGCCAGGAGTCGAATCTCTACGACTCTGCGAGTGGACATTCGCTTGCGCCTCACGGCTGGAGCATCTGCGCAAACGGTGATCTTCTTCAGCACGTGCGGTGGTTGTGGTGCGATCACGTTGACGACGCTGTTGGCGTGACGATGCCCGGAGTTGTGTTGAATGCGGTCTACTTTCAACTCTTTGGCTGGATACTGGCGTTGGAGGGTGTGTGACACGTACACTGGGTGCTGGCTGTGCTGTCGGGCCGCACAATCGCACGACACTCTGATAGGCGCTATCAAACACGGCCTGAAGTTCCTGGCTGGACCTGCCGGCCACGAGAGCTTGGCTGAACTCTCTCCACGGGTTTCTTCTGGCGAAGTCGGACAGCACGCGGAAGTCGGTCAGGGGCAGAGGGTGTCTGCAGTACGGCGAAGCTCTAGTCTGACTTCTACGCACTGGCATCAGTGATGGTGGGGAGGATGTGCTGGAAGGATGGACATGCTCCACTTTCACCGTCGTGTGTCTGGACACAGTGCTCCTCTCTGCAGAGGTCATTAACGTCGGAGTTCTCATCCTGCGCGTGTTCACATCGGTGGCAGATGGCGCCGTTGACCGAACCGAAGTGGGCGTTGCACTGACAGCAAGATGTGCTTGATGCGACGATGTGACGTGAAAGTGTGGAGTAGCATGAATGGTATGGCCAGATGCACTGGACGCAGTCTCAGT